CCACTTCACAAGAGATGTTATATTTGATTTTTTTTTTTTTTTTTTTTTTTTTTTTTTATGGCAGCCAAGTTGTACTGGTTAGGTTGCCTTTGGCTGGAAATCCTAAGTCAAACTGGCTTAAGCCATAAGAAAAGCTGCATCTACCGTAGCCCCTGAGGGCCCCAGGGAGGTGACAGTTACTAGGCAGAAATGTTTCCATGGCTCCCGGTTGCTCCCTTCTAGACTAATGTCTCATTATCGGCCTCGCAGTGTCATGCCTACATTGGAGGGTTCTTATGGGCATCACAGGGATGGTACCACCCCTCTTACAGGTGAGAGTGAGGGTGGCCAGTGACTTGCCCAAGGTCTCTCGTTGAGCGCCAGAGCCAGTGCCGTCGCTCGCCTCTCTACCAGCTCTTTCCCCGTCTTGGCACGGCTGACCTTTAATGGAGCCCTGGTAGGGGAGGGAGAAGGAAAGTACTGTCTGTTCTTCCCTGCAGGCTGCAGACCTTGAGGGAGCCACAATAAATGCTGTGTTTGTTTGCTATAGCACTTGGCTTTTGGTCTCAGCAGGAGGAAGAGCTAGAACAGGTGTGGCAAGACCAGGAGGCCCAAGGCACCTCAGTGGAAGGTGGGGTGGGACAGAGCCCCAGGGCCTGGCTGTGGGCTTCAGGTCTGTGGATTGTAAAGAAATCCAGGAACTTTCTCATGACCCAGCCATCTTCCTCGTGTTTCCAGGTGCCTGCCTGGCTGAATACACCGAAATACTAACAATACGTACTGACCTCAATTAAGGTCCGCACCTCAATCAAGGCCTAGCTTTGCTTTCATGCCACCATTGCTTCCAGTTCTCCCTGACCTTGAAGGGGACGTTCTGGTGGGGAAACCTGACAAGAAACCAAACAACAAGATAGATGTGTGATGGGGTGAGGTAGGCTGTGCGGGAACCCGTGAGATGACTTAGCTAGTCCTCAAGACAGCCCAGTATTATCGTACCCATTTTGTGGATGAGAAAATCGAGGCTCAGAGGAGTGCACTGCCCTGCTTCCTGGTCATTTTGGTTCTGACTAATTTTCTTCTGCAGGGGTTGATAAGGATAAAAATGGGGATGAAAAGACGAGTTAGAGAGGCTCTCACGAATAATCTGGTTCCTCCCTTATTGAAATAACAGGGAAACTGAGAGCCAGAAAAGGAAGAGAATTGCTCAGTCACAGAGAAGGAGTGGATCTAGAAAGCAGCTAACCCCCAAGCCAGGGTGTTCCTTGACATCAATGCCTTTCTCTTCTCTAGCCATCTGGAGATTTCCTGGGGCCCCCTCATGTGGGATTCTCCTCAGCTTGTGCTGAAAATTCCACCAACTCTGGTTAGAGTCTAAACTCCAGAAGGGATAAGAAGAGAATGGATTAGGACAGACCCTAAAGCCAGGCAAGGATGTGTGCCTGCTGGGGTGATAGAATATAGATTAGGATACCTAACCACCCTCTAGGAGGCTTCAGGGTAGCCCATGCTCCGAGAGAGACCTGGGAGCCAGGGAGAGTCTGAGGCTCTGAGCCCTTCCCAACCCACCCTGCCACACCCGACCCCGTCCCACCCCACCCAAGGATCCAGTCTGCACCACATCTCTCTGGCTTGGAGGTGCTGGGAGTGGGCTGGCTGGCTCTGGGCCCCAAGCTGCAGCTCTGCCCCTGGCGGTGTCTGACCAGGCTGTTCTCTTGAGGCTAGTGGTAAATGAATAACCTTGCTCCTGCCTGCAGGACTCTCTGAGACAAAGAAGCCACTAGGTACCCCTCAGGGCTGGCTGGCTTGGCCTAACCTGCACCTTAGCCAGAGCCTGTGGGGATGAAGTGAGATGAAAAGGCTTGGCTCTCTGCCCACCCCTCAAACCCCATCCCAGAGAACATTTCTCTTCCCAGTTCCCTCTCCCTCACCTATTGCTAAGCCTCCTCCCTCTCTGTCCCTTCCCCTCACTGAGACCCGTCCCCTTCACTGACCCCCTTTGCTGAGTCCCCACCATTTCTTTTATTTTTCTAAAATATATTTTTATTGATTTCAGAGAGGAAGGGAGAGGGAGAAAGATATAAATATCAATGATAAGAGAGAATCATTGATCCCCTGCTTCCTGCATGCCCCCCAATGGGGATCCAGCTCACATCCCAGGCATGTGCCCTTAACTGGAATCGAACCTGGGACCTTTCAGGTCTGCAGACCAATGCTCTATCCATTGAGCCAAACCCGCTGGAGCCCCACTATTTCATTGGGCCCTTTTCCTTCACCAATCCCTCCTCTGTGCTACCTTCCCTTCACTGAGGTTCCCCACAGAGCCCTTCTGCCTTTTGTGAGCCCACATCCCTTCTCCAGCTCTCCCTAGGACCCTTCTCCATCAACTGTGCCCCTCACCTTCATATCCAGTCACTCCCCCTGTGACTAGATGAGTGGTTCCCCAGGGGGAACTGGGTGGAGAGAGTAATGACATTCCAAGTCCTTTCCTGAACCTCACAGAGGGTGACCTGCAGCTAGGGGCTTTTTACTATTCATAGGAACCTACTTCCTCTTCCTTGGCTCATATAGGGTAGCATGTAAGTGTTCCTTCACCAAAGAATTTTTGGGGAGCTAAGTGGAATATTTTACTGAAAAACTTGACTGCCACTGGGACCTTTTGTTTAATTTTGCTTCAGGCAAAGAAGTTTGAGATATAGTTAGCTGAAATAATGTCAAGTTTCCTCAATTTTAAATACCTGTCCTGTTACCCTCACACCCCCTCAAGTTGCTAATTTGGCCTTGATTCCCTTTATAAGTAAACTTCTTGGATGCAGGGTCTACATATTCTGTTTTTGCTTCCCTTCTCCCACTCACTTTTCTGTCCTCTATGTCTGCCCCACCCCCACACCTCTTGCTAAGGCCACCAGTGACCACTTTGCTGTGTTGTTTTTTTTTAATTTAAATTTTTATTTTTATTGATTTCAGAGAGGAAGGGAGAGGGAGAGAGAAATATCAATGATGAGAAAGAATCATTGATTGGCTGCCATCTGCATGCCCCCTATTGGAGATCAAGCCCGGGCATGTGCTCTGTCCGAGAATTGAACGGTGACCTCCTGGTTCACAGGTTGATGCTCAACCACTGAGCCACACTGCTGCTTTTAATCTAAGGTGACCAGACGCCCTGCTTTTGGCGAGACAGTCCCGATTTTTAACAATTTGTCCCGGTTCCTGCAGCATTTTAAAAAAGTGCCAGGACGTGGGACAAATTGTTAAAAATCGGGACTGTCCCACCAAAAGTGGGACGTCCGGTCACCTTATTTTAATCTTATAGCTACGCCTCAGGTCTCTCTGACCACTTCTGCAGCCTCGGACACCGAAGCCAATGCCTGCCTTCTCGAAACCCTTCCTTCTTTTGGTTTCTAGACTGACCTCATCCACTCCCCGGTTTCGGTTCCCTTCAGTATGCTAACAATAGCCAAGTTTACCACTCCTGAGTTCCAGCGCTCTATATGTGCCCAGCCATTTCCTGGACATCTCGCCCGACGGTCCTACAGGCTTGTCAATCTCTGTACACTCAAAGCTGAACCCCATCATCCTCCCCCAGTAACCTGGGCTCCTGTTTTGGTAAATGGCTTCACAATGCAATCAGTGATCTAGGGTGGAAAATCGGGGCTCTCCCAGTCCTCCCCTCTTTCCCACCCTGCGTATCCAAATGGTTCTCTAGCCCTGCGAACAGCCCCATCAGGCCCTGCTCCCAGTCCCCCTGACCCTGCTTTACTTCTGGCTTGTATCATCTCATACTGGGAGGGCTACATAGCCTCTTAGAAGGTCTTCCACCTTCACTGGCTCCCTGAACCCCAGCTCTGCAGGGCTGCTGGAGAGGTGTGTTAGAGAGCATACCTCTGACAAGGCGCATCCTTCCACGACTCCCATAACACCAGAGTAAGGTCCAAAGTCTGTCATTCCTCCCAGGAGACTCTCCATGCCTTTGTTTTTTCTAAGCCCCTGGGCCTCATCACCACTTCCTCTCTCACCTTGCTATCTGTCCTGCCATGCAGAATTTCTCTTGCCTGGCCCTGGGCACAAGCCCCCTTTCCCAGGGCCTGGCCCTCCTGCACCTTCTCCAAGATGCTAGTGCTTCTAAGAACCCTCCCCCCTCAAATTCTCCCCCTCCCCCAGAAGAAAAAGAGGCCCCTCTCTCATCTTTCCGCCCAGGTGAGAAGGTTCTGCCCGGCATTACGTTTGCTAAGCAAAAAACAAACAAACACAATAGGTCTTTGTGTTCTCCTTTTCCAAATATGAAATCATAGCATTGAATGTGCTCTTTCATGTAGCACAGGGGCAGCGATCCTGGGGTGCAGGCAGCCGCTGTGGAAAACACGCTCCTCAGAGCACAAACCCAAATGTCAGCCTGGAGAGGAGGGGTCCCTGACACCCTGCCTCCACCCTCTTGGCTCTCTCCACTAAAACACGCGAGAGGTGCCCACAACCTGCCTCTTACCCGTCTGAATCCCCAGGGAGGAGGCCAGATGACCGCTAGCACCCAGTTCAGTTTGCAGCCTCCCGGTTACTGAACCTCTCTGTTCCTCTCTGAGCTTCATCCCTAGCAGAATCCAGCCCAGGACAAGCCTTTTTTGGGGGGTGGGGTGGGGGGGAAGGCCTGAGCCCTGAGCGCGCAACTCAGGGCAAGGAGGTGGCGCAGGCAACTGCAAAACGAAAGGCTTTTATTGAAGAAGAATATCAAGTGGCCCCTTCCAGGGCCGCCGGGGCCTGCCCCACAAGGGCTTTGGGCAGCGTGGCCACACCACCCGGCGCTCCAGAGGGGGAGGTTTCATTGTCTATGCGGGCTGCTCCCCTGGTTTCGCTGTCCCACCGCTGCCTGCCCGCGGAGGGGCGGGGGGGTGGCAGCTGGGGAAAGGGGCGACGGGCTGGCCCCTGCCAGTCCAGGGAGAGGGCTGCCGGACGTCTGAGCTGGGCCGTTTTCCGATGCCAGGCTGGCGGCTGGACGGGTGGGCGCTCCTGCACGCGTCGGCGGTGGCCCCTCAGACGTAGTCCTTGCGGTCGTAGGCGGTGCCCGTGCCCGTGCCCGGCCCTGCGGCGGACCGCGGCGCCGAGTAGAGGATCTTGGCGGGCACGTACTTCTTCTCCTGCGGGGGACACGAGCAGCAGAGCAGCGCGCCGCCCAGCAGCTGCATGGCCGCCGCCGCCCAGCCCACGTACAGGCCCGATCCGATCTCGCGCTTCTGCGACTCGGGCACGATCGGGTTGTAGAAGTCCTGCACGATGGTGTTGGCCGACCAGGACACCGGCACCAGGGTGAGCAGCGCGGCCAGCAGAAACAGCACGCCCGCCACGATGGTGATCTTGGCCTTGGCCGTGTCGTCCTGCACGCAGTTGGTGCACTGCGCGCCCACGAGCGCCACGAGGAGCCCGAAGGCGCCCAGCAGGATGGCCACCACGATGAGCGCGCGGGCCGCCTGCAGGTCCTGCGGCAGCGCCAGCAGCGAGTCGTACACCTTACACTGCATCTGGCCGGTGCTCTGCACCACGCAGTTCATCCACAGGCCCTCCCAGGTGATCTGCGCCGTGATGATGCTGCTGCCGATGAAGGCCGTGACCCGCCACATGGGCAGCGCGCAGCACACGATGGTGCCCAGCCAGCCCAGCACGGCCAGCGCCGTGCCCGTGATCTCCAGGCCCATGGACATGGCTGCCGCTCCCAAGCCGGCTCTGCCGGGCGGCTCCGGGTTCGGGGACGGACGGCGAGGGGGCGCGGCCGCGGGGCCTCCTGGGCAAGAACTGGGAAGACGCCCCCCCCGACGGACAAACCGACGGACCGACGAGCCGAAGAACCGCGCGCGCGCTAACGGCCCCCGCTCTGCCCGCTGCGCCGCGGCTGCGCCCGCACCTGCCTGCGGCTTTGTGGGCGGCGGCGGCGGCGACTGAACCGGCCCGGAGTCGGGGCCGATTGGTCCTCGGTCCTGCTAGGGGCGCGGGCGGGGGCGGGCGGGGCGGGGCCGCGTCCTCCGGGACCTGGGCACAGTGACGTGGCCCCTCTGCCCACCTGCGCCGCGGGCCGGGGAGGAGGGACCAGGCCGGAGCGCAGGTGGGGGTGTGCCACGGGGGGCGGGGCCTGAGCCTGAGCCCCGCCCCCTCGCCGAGTCCCCGATGCCAGGTAACCATTCCCCCGCAGGTGGGGGGAGGTTGCACACCACAGGCTGTCTGACCGGTCCCCAGACTCCGCAGTTGGCACGGCCGCCCGCGTGGTGAAGGGAGCGTTGCCAGGAGCCCGGAGTCCCCGGGGCCTGGGAGGGCGGCGTGGCCGTGGCCGTGGGTGTTCGCGGGCGTGAGCGGCGCACCTGCTACCCCGTCCCCCCCCGGGCCTCCTCCGAGCAGCGCTCGCCACGCCGGGGACCCGCCTGATTCAGGCCCCTGGGGTTGCCAGCCCTAGAGATCTGGACTTGGTAGCCAGGGACCGCCCTCAAAAGCACTCAGAAGACGCCCCAGAGCCGGTGCTGAACTAAAACTCCCACCCCCAGCCTAATCCTCAGCTCTAATCCCTCGCAGTGACTCCGGATCCCTTTAGCGGAGCTGTTCCCCTCACCCCGCGCCCTGTCGTCCCTCCCTCCGGGCTCCAAGTCAGGGCTGAGATTCACCCTAATGAAATGGTGGTGAAAGATTGGATCCCGGCAAAAGTGGGAAGTCAGAGGCTTTACCTGCAACCCCTTGCTCCCACACCCGGGCTATCCCTCCCCTTCACACAAACCCTCTCCTCCCCTCCTCCAGCGCCCGGATCTCCGGGTTCTTCCTCCAGCAAGCCACACGCTCTCACTTCCGGCCCCATGGGCATTCAACAATGGGGCACGTGCAGATATTCACAAGGCTCATTCCTACCTTTTCAGCTTTTTGTTCCCAGCAAGGCCTTCCTTCCCTGACCACACTATTTAAAATTACAACTGCTCACTCCACAGTGTTCTGTCCTTTTTTCATACTTTATATTCTCTTTTGATTTTAACACCACCTGCCATACTCCTTATTCCTCTTAGTTATTATTATTTTTTAATCACTTCTTTTTTATTTATTTTTATTATTTTATTGATTTTTTTACAGAGAGGAAGGGAGAGAAATAGCCAGAAACGTCGATGAGAAACATCGACTAGCTGCCTCCTGCACACCCCCTACTGGGGATGTGCCCGCAACCGAGGTACATGCCCCTCGACCAGAATCGAACCCGGGACCTTTCAGTCCGCAGACCGAAGCTCTACCACTGAGCCAAACCGGTTTCGGCCTCTTAGTTATTTTTTATTCTCTCTCTGCTCCAGGTTGTCAGCTCCATTCGGACAGCCAGAATGTCCCCAGACGGGCAAGGATTTCCGCTGGTTTCATTCACTGCAGTATCTCTAGTGAATAAAACTTTGGTTTCATGACTTGAATGAGGGAAGGACATCCCTTTCTTGTGCTCTTGCAACCTTGCCTGCCTAGGCCCTCCTACTGGCATAAATGACTGATAACAGGACACTACTGTGTTTCCTGAACCAGAGGGCTTTGTAATCTGGCAGAAACCAAGCACACGTCCAAGCTAGATAAGAAACCTCATTGCGCCCTGGCCAGTGTTTCTAAGTGGTTAGAGCGTTGATCTCTCATTGAAGGATCTTAGGTTCAACGACCAGTCAAGGACACTTACCTGGGTTGCAGGTTCAACCCCATTGGGGTGTGTGCAAAAGGCAACCAATAGACATGTCAATCTCACATGGATGTTTCTCTCTCTTTCTTTGTCTCTCTCCCACCCTCCCTCCCTTCTACTTTCTCTCTTAAAAAAAAAATATTTGTATTGATTTCATAGAGGAAAGGAGAAGGAGAGATAGAAACATCAATGATGAGAATCACTGATCCACTGCCTCCTGCACATCCCCTACTGGGGATTGAGCCCACAACCCAGGCATGTGCCCTTGACAGGTATTGAACCTAGGACCCTTCCATCTGCAGGCCAACGCTCTAGCCACTGAGCCAAACTGGCTAGGGCCCTCCTACTTTCTCTAAAAATCAATTGAAAAAATACCCTCAGGGGAAGATTAACAACAACAAAAGAAACCTCATTGAGTGGGGGATTTTCTGGTTTCCTCCATATCTCTCAAATCACAGGCATGTAGCTTGTATGCTTTTCTATAAGTGCCAAAGCCCTAGGCCTGTGGTCGGCAAACCGCGGCTCGCAAGCCACATGCGGCTCTTCGGCCCCTTGAGTATTCTAAGGCCCCTTCTTCAAAATAGACTCGCTCAGGCCCAAAACCGACTTCTGCACATGGGCCACGAAGTTTCAGTCACACTGTATGTGGCCTGCATGTGGTATTTTGAGGAAGAGCCACACTCAAGGGGCCAAAGAGCCGCATGTGGCTCTCGAGCCTCGGTTTGCTGACCATTGCCCTAGGGTGATATAAGAATAAGGTAGCGCTGGCCAGTTTTGCTCAGTGGGTAAGGAATCAGCCTGAGGACTGAAGGGTCCCAGGTTCGATTCTGGTCAAGGGCATGTACCTGGGTTGCAAGCTCGATCCCTGGTCCTGGTCCATTCCTGCAGGGGCAACCAATTTGATGTGCCTCTCTCACATCTGTTTCTCTGTCTCTCCCTTTCCCTCCCACTCTCTCTTATAAATCAATGGAAAAATATCCTTGGTGAGGATTAACCAAGAACAAAAAACAACAAAACAGATTTCTAAAAAAAAAAAAAAAAAAAAAAAAAAAAAAAAAAAAAAAAAAAAGATAAGGTAAACAGGGCCAGATGCCCAGGAAACTAGGGTCCTACTTCTTACAGGGGCAAAGGTCTTGGGTGGGGCCTATTGGGTTGGGCTGGGCAGGGCCGGGAGTGCCCAGCAGGTGTAGGTGGGGGAAGTTCATAGGGGCTAGGTCCGTTTCAGCGGACTGCTGGCTGTTAGTTTCCTGGTGAGGGGGGGTGGCTTTGACCCAGAAGGGAGCAGAACCCCCAGGCAGTGTGAATGGGCTTAGTGGAGGGCTGAGGTGGGTTCCCCGGTGGTTGTGTCTGAGTGAGGTGCTGTGAGCTCCGTCTCTTGCTGGATGTGAGGCTGGGGAAAAGTCATGTCATCTCTCTTAGGCTCAGTTTCCTTTGTAAAACGAAGAAAATGATGTTTATGTGACCCATCTCACGAGGTTGTAATGAGGATGGAGGTGATGTAAGTGCATAATTAACCAGAAAACAACCAGGTCAGGACATACAAATGTGCAGGGAACTTGTGTGGAGAAAGTGTGGGGTTTAGCTGGGCAGTCCTGAGTTTGCGCTGTCTCTACTTCCACCAGTCATGTGACCTTGAGAAAGTTCTTTTCCACCGTTAGTCTCGGTTTCCTCTTGTGTGCAGAGGAGCACGTTCTGATTGTTCAGGTTAGGACCGGGAGTGAGGGGGGTGGGCAGGCAGAAAGAGGTGTGTTGTTCCTGAGCCCCAGCGAGGTGGATCTGCTGGGCGTGGCTGTGAGGAGATGAGGGCAGAAAGCTTCATGACCCAGGGCCAAACTTCAGGGACTCTGCAAAGAAGACTTTGGCTCTGGGCAAAGCAGTTCCAATTCGTTTTTTTTTTTTGTGTGTGTGTGTGTGTGTGTATGTGTGTGTGTGTGTTCTTGTAACCTTGGCTTAATATATACGATGGCTCTTACAAACCAATACTAAAAAGACAAATAACCCAATTAGAAAATTGTCAGAGAATCTAAATAGACATTGAGAATAGACAAAGATGATATACAAATGGCCACGAGCACATGAAAAGATGTTTGGCATCATTAGTCATTAGAGAAATGCAGAGCAAAACCACAGCGACGCCGCTTCTCCCTCCTGCTGCGTGCTGATGGGGAGGGGAGTTCTGCAGCGTGTTGCGGTCGGGCAGGAGTTGGTAGAGAAGGATTTAGCTGGTGGAGGTGACAAGGTGTATTTGGACAGAATGTTGCGTGCGTGCGTGCGTGCGTGTGTGTGTGTGTGTGTGTGTGTGTGTGTGTGATTCCAAGGAGCAAAGGGCTAAGGAGAGAGGAGTTGAAAGAAGAGTACCCACAGCTAGGAAACTGGTCCATTACCTATCTCCTGCCAAGTGTTCAATCCCCAAGAAGTAGACATCAGATTTTTGTGCAAACATGTATTTCTTTTTCTTTCTTTTTAATATTTTTATTGATTTCAGAGAGGAAGAAAGAAGGAGAGAGAGAGAAACATCAATGATGAGAGAGAGAACCATTGATTGGCTGCCTCCTGCATTCCCTACCTCCACTGGGGATCGAGCCCACAACCAGGGCATGTGCCCTTGATAGAATCAAAACCAGGACCCTCAGTCCACAGGCTGATGCTCTATCCACTGAGCTAAACCTTTTAGGGCGAACATGAATTTATTTCTATTGACTAAATGTCTAGGAATGCGCAGATAACAATTTAATAATAAAAAAAATGTCTAGGAATGCAAATTCTGGTTGCTGCATGCTTAGCTTTTAAAGAAACTACCATCCTTGTTCTCCAGAGTTGCTCCCAGCAAAACCTTCCCGTTGTCCATACCCACCAGCGACCTCGGTTCTCTGTGTCCTCGCCTGCATTGGGTATAGTTTACTTCCAGCACCTGCTAGGTGTGCAGTAGTATCTCATTGTGGTTTTAATTTGCAGTTCCTTTGTGACTAATGCTGTTAAACATCGTTGCCTGTGCTTGTTTGCTTATTTGAAGAAGATATCTGT